GACATTTGTTCCGTTTTTCAAAATTCATTTTTTTTTTTTTAGAAAGAGAGCAGCCTACCTGACAAACACTGAGCAAACCTTTTTGATATTTGTTCTTTCTTTAAAAAAATTCATTTCGTTTTTCTACAAAAAAGTCAATGCTTTGCAACATCCCAGCATCAATAGCATCTTTAAACAAAGAAAAATAATTTATTTGCCTCATCGGAGGCGTCCGAGAATGTGCAAGAAGCAGCCTGTGACCCCACCATGTAGTGATGACGTTATTTAAATAACTGGTCGCCTAAAGAGACAAATTGTCAGCAATCGGGGCGTTCGTTACCCAAACTAGTCACCATTTGAGGCGGTCGTCACTCGAGGTTCTACTGTATATATATATTTTTTAAATGTGAATACTGTATATGTATTCTGAACCTTGATACTATGACAATATTGATTTAACAACATCTTATATTCACCAGTTATTGCCAAGTTCAAAAGCCTAATTGCAGTATCTTATATGAAAGATTTTACCGGCACTCTTTCCAATATACAAAATGTCCATTGCAGCTTAATACCTCGGTAATCTTTGATTTGACAGCCTTTTCCTGCAGTACAGCCTGCAATAGGCTCATTACAAATACAGTATTACATTATTACAGGGGGCCTGACAGCTGAGTGGACAGCGCTTTGGATTCGTAGTCCTGAGCTTCCGGGTTCGATACCCAGCGGAAGCGGAAACAAAATGGGCAGTGTTTCTTTTTCCCTGATGCTCCTGTTCACCTAGCAGTAAATAGGTACCTGGGAGTTAGGACAGCTACTACGGGCTACCTGGGGTGATACCTGGTTGAAGGGATTCTGGGAGTTCTTCTACTCTCCAAGCCCGGCCCGAGGCCAAGCTCGACTTGTGAGAGTTTGGTCTACTAGGCTGTTGCTTGGAGCGGCCCGCAGGCCCACATACCCACCACAGCCCGGTTGGTCCGGCACTCCTTGGAGGAAACAATCTAGTTTCCTCTTGAAGATGTCCACGGTTGTTTCGGAAATATTTCTTATTGCTTCCAGGGCTGCTTCCTGGGGGTGTATAACAAAAAGGAGGCCTTTTTGTTACACACCTTTTTGTTGTTAAATGGTCGAGGACTGGGCCACAAGGATGCTAAGCCCCAAAATCATCTCAAGGTAACACAGCTATAAGTTCATAGTAGAGCCTGTACTACTACTGTACTGCCAGTGACAGCCTTTCAAAATACTGTAATGGGAAAAATTTAATAATATTAATTCTTGTTGCTTGGAACAGGAAACCTGTTCTACGACTAGCCAAGGTCCACTTAGGCCTAATACTGGCCTTCTCCAGTACGTAGCTCACAACAGTTGCCTAACTCTCGGTTATTTATTTGTCTGCCCGGTAAACAGAGGCATTAGGTGAAAGGAAATGTGCCAAACCATTTCTGTCCTGCCCAAACATTGGACAAGGTCTCTCATACTATTATATTATGCCTTCGGCCTCACACACGTGGGGTCTGCAGTTTGAGTCTCCTAGAGCCCAGGTAAATGGAATTACTGTATGTGCCTTAATAAATTTAAACAGTATCTAACACTAAATTTTGAGTGTAAAAAATTTACATTGTGAGTGTGAAATTAAATTTAATTGCTTTAATTACTTTATTCTTAATGTGCATTATATTCATATTTTAAATAAAGAAATATTTACAAACAATTATAGTTTTATGGACAACTTAACTTTTTGACTGACTGAATAAGAGTTCAAATTTTATTGATCACATGCGATTTCTCATAAGGCTTGGTGCATTTATTCCACCCGCCTGACAGCTGGGTGGACAGCGCTTCGGATTCGTAGTCTTGAGGTTCCAGGTTCAATCCCCAGTGGAGGCGAAGACAAATGGGCAAAATGTTTCTTTCACCCTGATACCCCTGTTACCTAGCAATAAATAGGTACCTGGTAGTTAGACAGTTACTACGGGCTGCTTCCCGGGGGGTGTGTAACAAAAAGGAGGGTTGGTCGAGGACCGGGCTGCGGGGACGCTAAGTCCAAAAATCATTTCAAGATAACCCAATTACGTTGGAACAAGGGAAAATGCCGACAAAAGATACCCCTTTTTGAAGATTTGAGTTAAACTACAAAGGCTTAATATCTACATCTGACTCCTGAGCTTACACTGGAAATTGAGAATGCTCCAGATTGACCAAGTATCTCATCTAAAAAAACAACATAGAAAGGGTCCTCTAGCATCTGAAAATAGGCTTTTAATGCCAATTTCAAGCTATGAACTTTACGAAGCTGTAGCAATTTTAAACTGTTTCTATAAACCAGAATTACCCTTTCCAGAGACCAGGTCTGAAGTTGATCTAGGTAGGTTCTCAAGCAACATAATAAGACATGCTCATAAAAACTTTAAACAAATATTGGACAAAAACCAAGATACTCAGAAAAATAAATTACTGTAGTCCCCTTAGCAAACTACCATTTCCTTGCACAATGAAATCATAAAAGCCTGATATATCTATGAGGAAATATTGAACTCATACGATAGGATCAAACCTGCATCCCTGAACTCTTCAAGCACACACACACACACACACACTGTGGTCCAGGCATGTGCATCATGGTCCCTTTAGTGATATGTGCACATGAGGAGTTGAGGGATGTAGGTTTGATCTAATCGTATGGCTTCAATTCTTTCTTATCCTTTCCTTTTTCTGACCAGTATCAAATCTAACCAGTAGCAACAAGTTACAGAAAAGCACTCATTCTATTTAATAAAAAAAAATAGGATAAAGCTATTCAGGAACAAGAAATAACAGCCGGCAAAATATGCACAATCTAAAACAGATATGCAAAAACATTTTAATTATGTTTTGCAATATTTGAAACGTACAGAATCTTGATTAAAATATTCAAAATCAGTTTCTTTCTACCATATAAAAATAAATGATTTTTCTTTTAAAGCTAAAGTCATGCACTGTACTTTACATTCAAATTTCAGCGCAGAACTCCAGCACAAAACCAATACTTCGCCTTTACCGTGTAAAGCTGAGAAGAAGAAATATATGTAAATTGATAGGCATCCGATAATTTTACTTAACATTAAAAATTATAAAATAAACATACTTCGCTTTTCATCAAAATTTAAAACTGTCAACATGCAATGCAGAATATTCCTTATTTAAAAAACTTATTGTACCTATCTTTAAATCTATTACCACTATTATACAATCCATGCTTTAAAAAAATCAGCAAAGACACCAATCACAACTATATTCTGCAACTCTCATTCCAACTTGAATGTTGTAACTAGCACTGAGGTAATATTTGTTGCATATGCATCAATCTTTTCAGAAATTCAACAATGCTTGTAATAATTTGCTTCCCACATCATGCACAATAAACATTCCACTAGTCCTTCATATCCTCTCCACCACAATAATTAGTCTTGCAACCAATAAGAACACATCTAACCTTATATCTGTAAAGCAGAGCTTGAAATTTAGTTGTAAAGTCTAAAAAAGGATCAAGAAATACAAAAATCGGACTTGCTAACATGTATTCTTGAGAGAAGTAACACTAATATACAATGATTCTCTACAGGGGGAAGACCAGTACACAAATACCCCAATCATCAAGGAAATTAATAACCAGAATCTCAATTGTACTGTACTATAAGTCTGACATTTATGCTGATGGCTCATCATTATACAATTACGAATTAAACCTAATATTAAAAACTAGGCAACACAATCATGAATCTGGAATACAATTACCTTTAATAACTGAGATTTTGGTGTAATGTCTGCATCTTGCCATTAATGAGATGCAACACTGTGGAGTTCTAAAATGGAGCTGCAGAGTCTTTACAAACTTCCCGAACAAGATAAAACAAAAATAACCTTCATACACCTATATTTTTATATGTCTATCATTTTATGTTTAATATTAAAATCCATCACCTGATAGCTGATCTCTGTGGTAGTCAATCATCAGTTCAATTAAGCAGCCACCATGTCTTGATTTGGTGTACAGGTGTGACGATACATGCGCGGTTCATCAAGGGTTTCCGAACCAGAACTCTTCCAAGCTCCTACTGTTCCACGAGCCACCGAGGCAAAAATGATGATCGCTCTTCATATAAATCGCTTGCCAAATATAGTTGACAGTTTTTAAAAACCTTACAAATGATGATCATGTTGATGGGGCTAAACAATGCAAATCATGCCCTAATAGTAAAATATTTATGAGATGAAGTTAACAGTCAAAATATAAAAAATGCTGTGGTATGGGGAAAGCAATCTTAATTACATTATATATTTATATACAGTCAAATAATAATAATCAATCTTACATTCACAGGTTACTAAGGACTTAAGTATTAAAAAAAAAAATAGAGGGTGCTGAAGGTATGTATGTTCCATAACACACAAATAAACCCAGTCCAGGAGTATGATGCACCAAGTGACTTGCATATTACCAGACCCGAAGTGATCAGTCACGACACTTGTCAATTCTCCGCACTAGTGCTGGCAGTACTCACAGAAATGAACTCTACCTGGTCCTGGGGCACATCACAAACAAGGAAGAAGTGAAACAGCAAGACTGGCCACTGGTCCAAAGTGAAACAGCACCTGGTAAAGCAGCACACTTGGCAGGAAGTGGAGGAATTCCAGGAGTATATACACAAAACATTCTAAGCCACACTTATCACCACCCAATCAGCATCCCTTTCAGTTTTTTTGCACCATATTTGCAAAACATATTTCAAAATCAAAGTAACTTTTATTATTTAGAAATAAATAATAAAAACTAATATTAGTGAACTCTCAAAACAAAAATGTTCACACATTGGTCTGCACACATCTGCTGTCACAATAAATATTATTCATTTTCTATAAATAAAAATAATTACCCTTTTCTCCCAAGCGAAGGTAGCTGGGATACGAACTTCACAAATAATAAATGTCAACTAGCCTACAAAGTTTTAGAATATTGGTTTCCATTATGCAACAACACCCACCTGGGAATAGATTAGAAGCATCAGAACAGTTTTCCACAGCATAGTGAAGCAACAACCTGGAGAGTTAAAAATGTAAAAAAAAAGTGTAGGAAAATGAAGACCATTACAGAGATTTTTTCATGAATATAATGCATTAAAATATGACTGTTGCCTTAAGGAAATAAAGATGGGCTCATAAAAAGGCAGATTTTGTGCATTAAACAGATTTATAAAATTAATAATGCATTTATTAACAATGTATCTGTTTGCTTTCTATTCAATTATGTTAATCTTGGCTAGAATTAAAATTAGCAACCCTCATGTACCCATCAAATATTCATTCATCAAGTAACTTGTTTCAGAGATTCACTGTCATATTATGAATGTAGTGGACATGTGAACCTGCAAACTGCTCCAAGCAACAGTCTGTTGGACCAAGCCATCACAAGTCCAGAACTCCCACAACCCACTCCAGGTTTGCTTCAGATATGTTAATGAAGAAGGCATTACTGACAATTTTGAGATTTACACTTTATCATCCCCAATACTGCAACTACTTGCCAATATTAACCCTAGAACAAATATTAAAAAGAATTTCACATGTTAACACTGAGTTTAATTTAACTTTTTTTTGGAGAGAGAGATATATACTGAATAGAAGAAAAACTAATTGACATTAAAGAGCCCAGTATCATCAAACTGACTAGATCAATTCTCAAAAAATTGCCATATGCAAATCAATATTTGAAAAAATAATTGAATCTTGTTACATTAAAAGCAGTGAACAATGTAACTGTTCAATGTAATATTAGCCCAGGATTATATACAGTGGAAAGTTTCCTAACTGGAACAAATATGAGTGCATAATATGGTGCATAAATTTTCAGGTCTTGCGTGCAAATATTTTTATTTTAATGAGAATTTTCTGGCAGTCAAACTCTTGTAGCATTGTGATCAGAGTCAAATTTAGGAATAGTGAAACATGTATAAATGCAGCTTTCATTGGATTTACATCAGCAAATGAATCTTTGCTATTCGTTTGTAAGTAGACTAACCCGATTGACTGATACTCAAAAAATTATAAAAATTAAAATTCCAAGTGGAATTTATGAATTTATGAAAATTATCCAAGATAAATGTCAAATCTGATAATGCTAAAAGCTATATCCAGGGAACAAATTGAAAATACCTGTATGCACATAGTTACGGTAATTATCAAACTTTTTAATGACAAAAAATAAGTATCAATTTTCAATTTATAAGCAGCTTAACAGATCATGGCTTGTAATGCACCTGCTACTTAATCATACGTGTTGGCCAAATTTATTTTGGTATTTAGTGTACTGTACATGAAATGTAACACACTACTGTACTCTCACTCTGCTCCTATTATGTCTCTACATATCTTAGTCAACACAATGCACCATACAACCTTAACTAACTGCTCCAAAATACCAAACATTAGTTGCTATCAATACTGATATTGGCATAACCAAACTTACAGTGTTGTTGAGAAGATGGGATGAAAAATACGTTGAAGAAATTTCCATCAATTAACAGAGCAACCTTACCCACTGAGAAGTAAAACTATTACCTGAAAGTATAGCGAAAAATTTGAAAACCATTTAAAGTTTTTGAGGGCGCAACTGTCACAACAAAAACCGAAAGTGATTTAACACTGCAAGCTTTTGACTCATTTTATTTACTAACACAATACATTTTAGTCTGATATCTACATTAATTCTGAGTATATTGCATAAAATTTATGAATCATCAAAAACAAAGTTTCAGCATGAAATAAGGAATATTGTAGCTAAACTATATATAAAATATTGTGGAGCAGATTCTTTTCTGTAATGGTTTGTACTAATGTGGGAACTCTATTCTTACCCTAAATTTTTTTATCCTTGTCAAGGCACATTTTAACCCTTTTCTCGAAGATTTCTTTTGTAAGCTCTTCTCGAATAACAAGCTTTAGTTCTTCAATAATTTTTGCCATTACAAGATTAACCGTTACATTTTCATGACCACTGGAACTTTCATGCTCAAACATGTCTGGTAATTTTTCATCACATGTCTCCATGGGCATAGCTTCACTTGTCAGTTCTAACTCAGAATCCAGTGAACTTTTCACAACATTGCTGCTCTTCGAATCATTAATTTTATATGGATGCATGCGATTAAAACTTTTCAAGATTAACTCGGCTTTCAAACTACCCTCTTTTATCGATAAAGGTTCTATTACAGCGCTCTTGTAGTTCGGAGGAGGAACAGTGGGAAGGTTTTTAGGAAGTGGAGGCATTCCTTTCAGTGGGGCAACTGACATTAAAACTTGTCCATTCAATTGTGTCTTAGTACTTTGGGAGCTTGTATTAGAATTTACAAAATCAACACTAGACAATTTGGATGCTTTTCTTGCCTTGATGGTCTCCTTGTGCCAATAGAGATACATATGTCTAGATAAGTAGGGAGATGGGGTAGGAGATAGGGGTCTCTCTTGGTCTTCAACTTCTCTCTCTGAAGAAGAATTTGGTGACAGTAACTGGGTTAAAGACTTCTTGGTTTTTTTAGATAATGCTTCCTCTTCTACTGCACCAAACATGATCTTTAGACGGGTATCTAAATTTGGTCTAGAGGGAGAGTCAGACTGAGATTTATTAAGTTTTGCAGAAAATGACACTTCTTTGGAGAATGAAACTTTCTTCTTTTTATCATTTCTGATTCTTTCTGGTGTTTTCAGTGAACTAGAAAAATGGTCTGAAGAATTTAGTTTACTTGGTTGTCTCACATACTTGTTGATAAGAGAATCTTCTGGGCTTTCTTCCCTTGGAGGAGAACCATAACTTGAGGCTGGAGAAAATGTAGCATCTTCTGGGTCATATGGTTCTTCCTCCAAGGAGGTTGCTGGACACACAGGAGAGGCAGGATAATGAATATTATCTGTGGGTGGTAGTGGAGGTGGGGGAGGGGTGGAGGCTTGAACATTGCTATATGAGGCAACACTAGCAATCACTGCAGCACAAGGGATCCTAGAATTACAATTATTGGCAGATGGGACGGCAGGTTTCATAGAAAGACGAGATGAAACAATACTTGGGATGGGTTTAGCTTCTGTATCTTGAGTATCAGAAAAAAATCTCTTGTTTCCTGACTGCTTTGAGGAGCTTAAAGCTCCTAGTCTTGTTGAATCTGACGACTTGGTAAATGACTCAACTTTTGAAGACGGTGAGGGCAAAGAGAACTTCTTGACAGGGCTGGATGGTGGTGGGTCATTTGGAGGTGGCGGCTTTGAAGCTTCAACCTTAGGAGAAGGTGGCAGAGGAGGTAGAGGAGGAAGTGGTGGTTGTACAGGTATTGTAAAACTACTGGAAGGAAGAGGCGGCGGTTGTGCTCTTTGAGTGCCAGGGAGCGGTGGAGGTTGACAGAGTCTAGGTTGTGCTGGTCTTGGGCCTGGGGGTAATGGAGGATGCATTGTGGCTTCTATATTTTGTGTACCATGAGGTTGAGGACGAAGTTTAACATCAGCACGAGGTGGGACTAAATATGAGTTATTTGGCGGCATGTGGTTACTTGGCGGCATATGGTTACTCGGCGGCATATGGTTATTTGGCAGAATGTGGTTACTTTGCAGCATGTGGTTACTATGCAGCATGTGGTTATTTGGCTGCATATGGTTACTTGGTGCCATGTGGTTACTTGGCACCATGTGGTTGCTTGGTGGCATGTGGTTACTGGGTGCCATGTGGTTACTTGGTGGCATATGGTTACTTGGGGGCATGTGGTTACTAGGTGGCATGTGTAAGTTGGGTATATGAGGGTGAGGACCAGAAGTAGGCATATGTGGGTGTGGATGAGGTGAGGGTAGTATAGGGGGATGTGCAAGAGGAGGAGGATGTAATATTTGGCCAGGAATTGGTAGACGAGGTATGGGAGGTCCATGGGACACATCAGGAATAGATGGCCTACATACAACTGGTGCTCCAGAAAATTGAGGAGCTGGCTGCCCTTGAACAATAATACCCATTCCTGGGAGATGTGGGGTCCTGTTAAACCCACGAGCATAATCAAAACTTTCGGGGTTGGGTCTTCTGTGGCCCAGATGTTCCAGATTACTTATGCTCACGCTGTTCAAGAAGTCGCAGATACCCCTCCGTCCATCTGATCCCATGAAATCGCTCCGACCCATGTGCATGTCATCCGACATTTTGGGTGCTTAGCAGTGGATGACACCAGTAGTGGCAGCACCAGTTTGCTCTGAAAAACAGAATTTCATTAAAATTCTAAAACACCTTAAGACAAAATGTAACTTGTTTTGCAATTCAGTATAGCACAATGTACAGCTCTGTACAGGTGATAATTGTTGTATTTGGTTTCAAATACTGTAATGCAAATTCTGACTGTCACAATTTTGCTTTTAATATAACAATTTAAAATGTGTGGGTGGGTTAGTCTGTACTTATACTGGTGCATAAGGTTGGTACAGACATACTGTAAAATGTGACCTTAAAATCAGGAACTGAATATATCAGATATCCAAGCTAATCTTATACACATCCTTTCAATGGTAGCACTGGATACCTGCTAGATAGGATTCTGGGAGTTCTTCTACTCTCCAAGCCTGGCTCGGGGCCAGGCATGACTTGTGAGAGCTTGGTCCAACAGGCTGTTGCTTAGAGCAGCCCGCAGGCCCACATATCCACCAAAGCCCATTTGGTGGATATGTGACCACATTAGCCACAGACACATTAGAAAGAATTCTTTCAGTGTGAGGATAGTTAACAAATGGAATGCACTAGGCAATGATGTGGTAGAGGCAGATTCTATATAAAGTTTCAAATGTAGATATGATTGAGCCCAGTAGCCTCAAGAATCTGTACACCAGTTGATTGACAGTTGAGAGGCAGGACCAAAGAGTCGAAGCTCAACCCCTGCAAGCACAACTTGGTGAGTACAACTAGGTGATTACAGGGAAAGAACAGGCATACTGCTGAAAAGCAACTTCAGTCAAAGGCCCAGCGAGTCTCATGGTAGACCACCCCAAGCACTAACAGGAGAGGTAAGAACCAGTACACACAACCTCCTCTGTGGCAGCAACCAAAAAGTGCCACCACATGCCGGCAAACACAGTCAAAAGATCAGGCCCACCTCATAGGTGACCAAAAGAACTGCAGGGGCTACTCCCTGGCAAACACAACAAACGCAACAAAGAGGACCTATATTATTTATAAAGAATAAATATATTCTTGAAGGTTTAAACCAATATACCAGTGCAGTAATTTCCCAAATTGAGTAATTGCAGTGATGGTACAGAAACAATTTATCTTTTTTAAACCAAATAGTATTCAGACTGGACAAAGTAATGCATCCCTGGATATTGGCAACTAATAAAACTTATAATGCCTGCACCAGTGCAAAGAATGAAACCAGAAGTGTCAAGAACTCTTCAAAAATACTGTACAGTAGTCCAAGAAAAATCTTGAAACATACAAGAAATCTTACAGAAATCGTATAGAAATTTGTTAGAAAAATAGCATTGCATTAATATTTCCACAATTTAGTGCATGGGTCTTATGAAAATATGAACATTTAACTCCATTAATGCTTACTTTCTGCTAGCTTTGAAATAGCCATGCCCTATTCCCAATTATAATAATAACCCTTCCCAATACCATGTGCCTCTAATTGTTAATGACTTTTGAGGCACATTGTCAAAGGCAGTTTTTTTGTAGATTGTTAAATTTAAGGGGTTGTATTCAACCCATATGTTCTATTTTGTTTATAGATGAATGTATAGTCCTTGAACTACAGAATGATACCGTCAGACATCTAGAATAGGTGCATTATGAACAATAAAAGGTGTCTGGAAAATTTGTTTCAGTTTCAAAATTTACCTTATTTCCTATAACCTGACACTAAAACCAAATATCTTTCAAGTAAATAAAAAATTTGTTTCCATGATGCATGCTAAACATATCATGTACTACCTTGATTATATTGATAGTCATTTTCTCAACAATTAGTGATTTTTAAATAAAGATCACGAAATGTGAGTGCTAAGCCTATGAGTCTTAGGTCGCAAGTGAAGAAGCAAAGAAAATTGCCACCAAACAATATGGAAACACCACTAAAGAGTACAGTACTAGTACAACTCTGCCACCATGTCTAGTAATATTAGATCTGAATGCTCTGAGACAAGCCGCCGTGCATCGGATAACTGTTGCCTTTTTCTGATACCCCTGAATACCAGTCTCTGGACAGCCATGTTACCAAACATCAGGGAATCAAGTCTGTTATTGTAGGAAATTTGTCTAATAATATGGATATGAAGAAAATTGTTATCTAGTTCATAAAGTAACTGGTAATACAGTACAATACTGCCAAAAATTTCCATACATATGGGTGTATATTCCATACAAAATATTCCATACATACAAGACACATGGGTGATATGTCTTGTCAGATGGGTGATATGTCTTGTCAGATGGGTGATATGTCTTGTCATCCAGAGATCAGTGATAGAGTATCCCAGACTTACTTTTATGACAAAAATCCAGATGCTGCCATTTTTTTAATTATTGTCATAACATATTGCATGTGCGACATCCATTCTAGTTATTTTAACCCTCTAAATATCATAAACAGTACCACTATGCCTGTGTACTAAATACAACAACAAAATCATAAAATGCAAGCTTTTTTTTTTTTACATGCAAAAAATATTACCCAAGTCTCTCTTCATTTTGTACATGTCAAATCAAAATTTGGTGTTCCCCACCAATGTTTGAATCTATTTCTGGAAACCATTACAAGACCAGACAGAAGACAGAATACCAGCAAAGAAGTGGGATGTAAGACACTTCCTTTGCGCTATGCAAACAAATTTACGTAACATATTGATGCACATATTACACTGTAGGCTTATAATGCCTACAATGTAATATGTAGATCTTAGTCTACATATTACATTGTAGGCACTAAACTACAAATCCAGTACTCAATCACTGTTTTTGTCAGTTATAGGTACAGTATGTGTAAATAAACTGAGTTATACAATACATTGTGTAAACTAAAATGTAACAGTAAACAAACCATTTAACAAGATCAACCATCTCTCCCTTATAAGGCAAGGCATCAATATTGAATCGCAACTGGCCTCAGACAAAATAACCCCCCCCCTCACCCGGAGTCCTCCCTAAGTGCACAAGATAAAGAAAAAACTTAAATACGGTACAGTACTTTATTTAACTCACTGTTATCGTAACCAGTTTCCATTCACACCCAGACTCATATTCTGCTCAGGCAAAAACTCCAATTCTCAGAGATGCAACCCAATGCATTAAAAGGAGTAAAGCAGCTGTTGTGAATTTGGCAACATTCATCAACTGTCACAAACGGTTAAACTACATTTGAAGTTCAAAGAAATATGTTGCCTATAATTTTCCTTAGCACAATACCCAAATATGGATACAAAAAATCAACTTTTTTTATTACAACTGCATCTTTTCAGATATTTTCCATATTGCATTATGTTACAGTACATTTGATGAATTTCCGACAATTTTTGGTGTCAATTTTATGCAACAATGTAAGCATTTTACATGTAATTATTTTTTTATCAAAGATGATCAACAACTGACAACCTTACCCTTGTGACACTCATAAGTAAACTATCATCAACCAGTCCTATTTGACCAAGGGGCTCAAAGCAGTTGCATTCGCAAAACGGTTGCAGAACAGTTAGATCTAAAATAAACAACTCATGTTACCTTAAAAATATATGGTTTTTTTTTACATCATCAGGACCTAGAGTATGCTCGAAGACTAAACCATACACCACTGTTACTGTATGCTCGAAGACTAAACCACACACACCAGAAGATGAGGAAACGACGATGTTTTAGTCTGTCCTGGACCATTATTTTATTTTTATTTTTTATTTATTCATATATACAAGAGTTCTTACATTCTTGTACAGCTGCTAGCACGCATAGCATTTCGGACAAGTTCTTAATCCTAATTATTCACACACACACACAAACACACATGCATGCACACACATTCCCAGGTACCTATTTACTGTTAAATGAACAGGGGCATCAGGGTGAAAGAAACTCTGCCCATTTGTTTCCACCTCCGCCAGGGATCGAATCCGGATCTTTAGGACTACAAACACCGAGCGCTGTCCACCCAGCTGTCAGGCCCCAACATTCATCAACCAAAGAATCAAGTAGATTGTCGATAATGGTTCAGGATGGGCAAAACGTCGTCGTCTCCTCATCTTCTGGTGTGGTTTAGTCTTATATCTTCAACCACGCTACTGTGACTCATCATCTGCCTACTGTATGGTCCTTAGTATGCTTGAGAGGATGCGTACATCAGCAGCAAATCGAGGAGTGGCTACCTCTGATTTCCATGTCCGAGGTCTAAAAGCCACTGTAACTCACCTAAAACAAAAGTCAGAGGCCTAAAAGCCATTGTAACTTACCTAAAACAAAAGGGAGTTAAACTTGCAGATTGTAAGATTAGCGCCAATCACATCACCAAGATGTTGACTGCTAAGGATTATTACCATTATTGCCTTCAAATCCAGGGATCCCATCACAATGGTTGTACTATTCAAATCACTTGTGCTGTCCCATCTTGAGTACTGCTCAATACTCACTTTCCCCTTCAGAGCGGGAGAGGTTGCTGAAATAGAGGGAATACAGAGAACATGTACAGCATACACAGACACAATAAAGCACTTAAATTATTGGCACCATCTCACAGCTCCCCAAATGTACTCCCTAGAAAGAAGACGAGAAAGATATCAAATAATATATACATGAAAATTCTGGAGGGCCAGGTCCCAAATCTACACAGTAAAATAACAACATACTGGAGTGAATGATATGGAAGAAAATGCAGAGGTGGATAATGTAGGCCTGTGGGCCACTCCAAGCAACAGCCTGTTGGACCGAGCTCTCACAAGTCAAGCCTAGCTCCGGGCCAGGATTGGGGAGTAGAAAAACTTCCAGAACCCCCTCTAGGTACAATCCAGGTATCATGTTTTTATAATAAACATACTGAGGGGAAGGGGAAATGAATTTAACAGTCTTCAGGTGGAAAAAGGTTCATGGTTCAGGTACTGAAAGTCAACCATGAACCTAAAATGAACAACTGAAGATGGGGTTGTGTTTACTAGTGCTTCTTTGGGCTATGAAAGTGACAGCAGTACATAAAAGTCAAAAGATGAATTAACTCGACAAGAAACAACTGAGCAAACTGTTCATACAGAGCAAACTGTTCAAACCGAGGAAACTCTTCATACCGAGCAAACTTTTCATACTAAGCACAGTTCAAAAAACCGAGCACAGCTCAAACTGAGCAAACTGTTCAAACCAAGTAAACTATTCAAACCAAGCACTGTACACTATTCACACCACGCAAACTATTTACACACGACAAACGGCTCATAATGAGCTACCTGCTTACAGTCACAACTCGCACTAAGCTTACTGCTAATACTGAGCTAACTGCTCAAACTGAACCAAATGCTCCCTCTACTCATATGGGTAAAATGCTCACATTGAGCTAACTGCTCACACAAAACAACCCACTTACACTGAGGAACTATATTGGTTCCCTGCTCTTAACTGCTGACAGCTGCCGCATTCTAGGTTGTCTTTGACATGCTTTCCTGTGCCCTGCCAGAGTGCCCTCTGTGTCATTAACCTTGTCTCAATTTCTGACAATTCAACAAATTTACAGAAGTTGACTACGCCACTTTCAGCAAATATGATGCTAAAAGGGGCGTAAATGATTCCAAGAGTAATAAAGACTATGTACAAGGCTCGGATATCAGTGATACGGATAATGAACCAAAAGCATGTGACCGTGCTCCCAGTAATAGGTCTACCTCCCTAGCACAGCCATAGGCACAGAAGGTTGGTGTGCCTTTACATCATGTTATGGGACAAGTTCCTTTTGCCTATGAACATGCAGATGATTTAGTGATCAGGATTCTGATCTGATCTCCCCAACACTGCCCACCTTTAGTGATCAGGAGTCTGAACATGCAGACTCTCAGGATTTAGTGATCAGGATTCTGATGATAATAGCAGTGATTTGGTTAGCTTTAGTGGTATGCATACTGATTCCAAGTGCTACATTGCTTCATCAGCAGCTCACCTACGAAACAATGCTTTGTGATTCTACATGGGAAATTATGGAAAAACTGTCACTATAATTCCCACTGTTGGGGGACAGAAGGCCTGTTTATATATACTAGTACAATAGGTTTGTATTTAAGTCCCCCTAGTTTGAACTACTGCACTGACCTTCCCTAATACAACCCCAAAAATAAATTGCCCAACTCCCAGGTACTTACCTATATTCTACTAGGTGATTAAAGGCATTTGGCAAAAGAAAATGTGCTCAACCATTTGTCTCACTACGAAATCAAAACCAGAATCCCCGATTGTGAGTTGAAAACAAAGGCAACTGTACCATGAGACCCCAATGTTCAAGTGTCCATGGCCATTCTGTATGTAGAAGGGCTTCATATCCTGGCCAATGCAGTTATGTAGGTGACAGGATCTACTATATGCCCATGGTAGTGCTGTGAACACTGCCAGTGTACTTCTGTGACACAATAGTGCTAACTGTTTCCCAACACCTACATTTCAGGATACAGATGTAGGTATTAAGACATTTTCAACCCATCTTCCTGTTTATATAGTACTTTTTGTAAGCTATGCGGACCATCGTACATATATATTGACATAATGGACAATTAGATGATGAATTTGGTATTACTGTATTCACTGTATAATTCAAGGGGGAAAAAAAGGCTAAACCAAACTGAAATATTACTAGACCTATTATAGCACACATATGTACTGTATCAGAACTCAGGTAGCATGTATTAGGCCTAAGAGGGTTAGACTTGGGTTTTACAAGCAAGATAAATACTGCACAAGCATATTTCTGGGTTGTCCAAATTGAATAGTACCAAACTCTACTATTGTAATTGTCCATTACATCAATATATGTACAATGTTCCAAATTGTTATTATAAGTACAGTCCTATCTTAACAGGATAGGCTGACATTCTCATATACTGTAGTGTAATGATGTGTGAAATGGAGTACCGTATTTTACTGCATATTTTGATGTGCTGCTCATGGAATACATCCTTCAGGAAATAAACAGGCGGGCTTACTACAAACGAGGACACAACACTACTGAATATCCACGTGTGCACTTTTGAAAGGACATGACTGTACCTGAAATACTGTATACATATTTCTTGTCCTACGTATGATTACAAAATATTCTCAGAAACACGTCATTCAAGACTATTGGGACAAAGATGATGATGTCTTGACACCTATTTTTACAAAATACATGTCTCTTGACAGGCATCTTATAATGTTTAAGCGTATTAGTGTTGATAACAGTGACGAGATGACAAACAATAGACTGTGGAAAGTGAGGGACATATTTAGTGACCTAAATGGAAAGCACTGTATAAAGATTTTTACGTACAGAGTCAGAAACTGGTGAATCACTTTTGCTTTTTATGGGGTGTGTTGCTTTCAAGCAGCATGTCCCTCCAAACACCACAGATTTGGCTTGAAATTCTTCATCCTTTGTGATTGTGAGACAGGAATGGTAATTAACATAATACATTGTTATTTTGGTACAGATGTAGACATTCCCAAGGATGATCCTTATATCTTTTCAGGTATTGTAGTAAAGACTTATTTTTTTCACTATTAAATAAGGGTCACATTTTATATACTGATAACTTTCCCATACTATCTATCTTCCTGCTTGAACATAAAACTAGAGTGTGTAACACAGTAAAGGCAGAAAGGAGGAAAAGGAGGCAGAAAAGACCAGTTTCAGTGGGTGAATGTCAGCTAAAAAAAACGGACAAAATGCTACCACTGCATGGGATAGAAGGGCGTAAAGTGCACTCGGTGACAACAATTTACACAAATAAGATGGTAGACAGGGGTAAAGTAAACTGTACAACAAAAACAATCAATATATAAACCAAATTGTGAAATGGCCTTTAACATAAATATGTATTTGGTTAATAAATGTGGCATGATGGTTGGTGCTGTAGAATATGTTAAAAAAAAAGTGTCAGGAGAAACAAAAAACTGTTTTGTACCTTGCTGACATAGTCATGCTGAACAGTTACATGTACATGTATGGTGAAATTAGGCCATAAACCAATTATGTGTGTATTAAGTCTAGCAATCTTCACAGTTGCTTATAAAGTTCAATAAAGAAGCAGAGGGTAGAAGCGTAGGCATTATCAGCCGAACAATGGTTCATGCTGCTCCGAACAGATTGGCTTTCAAGGACAGCTTTCTGATTTCACACACACACACTGAATATCTACCAGCTAATTAATGGAGGATATGAAAACGGTCAACATAAGTGCATTGTCTGTAGGAGCACAAAAAAAAAAAAGAGGAAAAAAGTGAAGGAAGATAGTTACTACCTGGTGCATTGTAAACTGCTTAGAAAACCATTCCCTCCAGAACTTCTGAGTGTTATGGAATGGAACAAAGAAAACTTGCAGCGATAAATATCATGTATACAGTGTGATAACAGCAAAAATACTTTTGTAATTAAATAAACAAACTATTTGGTGCGCAGAGTAGTGACATGTATATATTTGTGTGTATTGATGTAAAACACTTTATATAAATACATCTAATGACATCTGAGTACAGGGAAGGGGAACCTTTTAGAGAACGTGTGATTAAATTGGCAATAATTTTCTAAAAAAAAATTTGCTTGAGTGACAAAAAAAAATAAGTGTTTATCAACTTTTATTAATGCACTTTAAACCTGACACTGCAACCCCCTAAAAGTGAAGCAATGCTCCCAAAATATTAACTCGGCCTTTGTCTCTTCACTACAAAATATTGTCAAAACATCATAAGGGAAGGTTAGAATGCACCAAGTCTTTTCCCACACCTGCCTCTTCCTCCTCACTAGTTTTCACTTTCGCTAAACTTACAAAGGGGGTTTAGAGAGAGCACGAACGACGTTACCACACCAACATGTCAGCCGCGAGAATCGACGCACTTGGAGACGAGCCGTGGTGGATTTTTAACTGGTAAACCCAAACAGCCGAGCTCACAATGCAATGCCATCCGTCGCCAACACTACTTACCAAGCTTGCTGATGACAAACCGTCCAAAACTGCTACATATGTTGATAATTTAGTAGTAATAGGCACAAATTATAATTATTCTGGTATAAAATCGTGTTGGCTGACGCATTTTACGCATTCCCACCTGTTATATGCAGAGAAATTTTCCTAGCGTCTCGTCTCAGCATGTAAACACAAGACATTAAAAGTAGATACGCACCCAAAACGACAATTTCTGTGTAGTTTACGCATACGCCCCATTTCTAAATAATATATAATTGTGAGCTTATCTTCAAATAATCGCAACAAAACAAAAGGTAAAGCTTTGTCAAATAAAGAGGCCATTAATTAATTTATCCATTAGATTACACAGAAAACGAGATTTAAGCTCGTATTGAAAGTGATAACATTTTTTTTTTCTTCGAGTTTCCATTCCTCGTATGAAATTGTATTTTTTCAAATGATATTAATAATATAAATTATTTTCCCTTGTGGTTTATGAACATAATATAGAACCTTTTGTTGTATAATAATCGCGGGAAAG